TTCTGAACCTCTTGTACTTCCTTCTTACTCTCACGCAATTTGTCCTCAAATATTTAAACCGTTCGTTTCACCAGTATAGTTGGTTATTTTTAAACCTTTTATTTGACCTTACACAAACCAACTTTTATGCAGCACTTAGCCCCTCAATTAACTCACATCCTCGCATCTCGGAAAATCAAGCAAAAAGCATATATAAAAACATCCTCATTTAAACATCTCTTTAGATCGTTATCTTTTTTTTATTCCTTCACATACTTGTGTAAGTGTGTAAGCTAACCAATTCTTCTTCCAAAACATTTCAGCTTACGACTCTATTTAATAGTGACGTTAAAACCAGTGAGATGTCCAATAACGATTTAACAGCCTTGTAGCTATCATCTCACTTTCGGAGTACGGTACGTGCAATAGTCAACTGCGTTCAAGTGAATGAGGGTGACTTTAGTTGGTATGCATCATAACAGGAAGGCATCTGTTTGCACGATCTCCTTCTAGGGGGAAATGGACTCAGATGTACTCCTCTATGATCTAGGAGGGAAGGAGCCTGTGTGGCTTCTCAAACACATGAATGCACTGCTTTAAGCACCAACTTTTTCTGAGCCTTGGAGGACATCGAGGTTAGTACTGCTCCCTAAGGCTGGGAAAAAGTATCGCCCCATCTGTCTTCTTCCATGCATCGATAAGCTGTATAAAAGGATGCTGAGATGATTGAGAGGTCGGGTGGTTTATTTTGGAGGCAGTTTGGTTTTTGTAAAGGGAAAAGCACGATTGATGTAATCGTGAGTGTACTCGAAGCATTCCGTAATAAAGGCATGTTAAGAATGCATTCAATACGCTCCAGTGGAACAAGGTAATGAAGACAATGGAGAACAGAGAATGTGCTGGTTATCTGATGAATGTGGTGGCGGAGTATCTTTTCGAGACAAGGATTATGGTGGAAAAGGGCACAATCGTGGACGTGACGGCCCGAGTGCCCCAGGGATCTATCTTGGGCCCAACGCTATGAAACCTGACATGTGACAGGTTATGAACTATAAATATGGAGAGGGTAAAACCGATTTGCCATCCACGAATGACCTTGCTGTACTAGTAATATCGCGAGATAAGCCAGATCTCAAATACCGGATTCGGAACGCAGGCTGCGTCGTAAAGAAGTGGATGACGCATCAGGAACTGAAACTTGCGGCATAGAAAACCGAAGATATTATTCTGAAGGAGAAAAGGAACAGGCAACACACGAAAGTGTTGAATTACAATGTGCGGGAGCATGTATAAAATCCAAGTAAGACGTAAAGTACCTAGGAGTAATATTGCAGCAGAATTAAAAATGGGGGGGAGCACGTAGGAGAGGTGGCCCGGAAGGCTGCGAATAGAGCAGCTGCATTGGGGAGGATGATGCCCAACATTGGAAACCTACATCCAATAGGAAGAGGGTTTTACACGGGGTTGTACAGTCGATCGTTCTCTACGCGGCACCAGTCTGGAGCAGGGCAGTAAAGATAATGGTCTATAGGAGGCTCATGCCACGAGTCGACAAAACCAAACTGTTGCGAGTGGCATGCACCTATAGAACTGTGTCTCCTGTAACCTTGTGGACCATCAATGGATGTGTTCCGTTGCATGTCTTGGCTGTGAAAAAAAAAGAGCTCTATGAGGGAGGAGGCACAAACCTTACTCTGGCCGAGAGAAGACAGAAAAGGGAAAGGACAGTTGAAAGATGGCAAAAAAGTGAAACAATACTTTACTTGTACTTTAAAGAAAATGATATACTGTTGGCAACAATTTCTCCTTTTTTCGTCAAGTAAGGACGAGGCTCTATTTTTTTTAATTTTTGCTTGTAACTCAAAATCTTGCCACTTAAAAAAACCTGTATACTGCATTGTTTTTAATCTAACCTTTTTTGAATTTTTATTTCCAACAGCTGTTACAAAATCGTTACAATCGTAGGTTTTTTTTTAATTTTTTAGTTAGTTTTAACTAATGGGGGAAGCTCATCGGTGGACATTCAGGTGTGTGCTGGTTCGAAATACTAAATACAAATATCTTGAGCAGATATAGCATAAGAATTTACAATGTACACAAGGAAATATAAAAAACTCCAATTTTTATTTTGACCTGAGCAGTTATCAACCCAAAGGACAAAATGTTCAACATATCTATAATGTAAAAAGAAAGAATTATAATGCCGATATTCTTTGGGTAAATATTGCTTTCTTAAATGTATTCATTCTTATTAACATATGACTTTTTGTAAGTCAACATAGGCTTTAGAGGTCGTTGATGTATCTGGTTCATTTATATCCAAACGGTGTAATTCTCTAAAATCTCTGGCATTTTGAAGGTGTTCCTTCCAGCTATTATATTAACTAAATGCTGCATTTAAGTTTTCAGAATTATTCTCTTCATTGCGTAGTTGAAATGCTTCACACAGTTCGCACTCTTCAAGGCCCAGATTTGTGAAAGATATGTTATTATTTTTAAGGTGCTTTCGATAAACCTTATGCGAGCATTGATTAGAAGGGTAGGTTGCTAAATAATCCTTGTGCATGACTTTTATAGGTAAATAACTAGGCAGGTATCTACGATACAGAGCGTGTTCACGCCTATAATGGGACTCGAAATAAAACTTTCCATATGCGTCAAGGTTTAGAGTAGATATTTTATACAAGCTGCCTTCACACGTTTATCTTTTTTAGAGCAGATAGGAGTAGACGATTAAAACACATTTTGTTTGACAATGTTTTCGCTAATCTCGCCAATTATATAGCAAAAACACCGCGATTGTGTATTGCTTTAGGGCGAGCGCCCACCAAAGTGGCGTGGCAGTGGCAAGTAGCAAGTAGCACGCGTCTAGCATAATGTAACCAATGAAAACGAATGATTCAGTTTACACCAAAATTACAGTGACGTCATTCATTCTAATCATTCGTTTGGATTGGTTGCATTATGCTAGACGCGTGCTACTTGCTACTTGCCACTGCCACGCCACTTTAGTGGGCGCTCGCCCTTAGAATAAACACAATAACTGCAGGCACCTTCAAGTATATGCGGTGTTTTACCTAAGTAATGTTGTAGTTGCGGGGTTCTTTCATAGTTCCACGCATGTTTTCGTAGAAGATAGGTTTAGTTGTTCATTTTTGTGTGTAATGGGGATTGTAAACATTGTACTTTTCTTAAATAATCATGTAATATAAACTCTCTAGATCCAATTTTCACGCCCAACTAATTTCATAATTTTTGCATGTTTTTCCTAAGCACCGCAGTATTTTAGTCCATGATATATTGTCACTGCCTGTTTTTCATGAGAGTCTAAATTATAAGAATGTTTGTTTAAACAACTTTTCACTAATTATTTCTATATATATATATATATATATATATATATATATATATTATATATATATATATATATATATATATATATATATATATATATATATATATATAAAACAAGCGAGTCTTCTACAGCTGGCGCCGCTTTCTCGCATCTTAATTTCCAGCGTTTTCTGTCGAAGCTATCTTCAGTTTTTAGATCTCTGACGGTCATTGCATCGTCGACATCGTCTCTCCAGGATCGTCTTGGTCTATCTCGTTTTCTTCTAGTTGGCGGAGTCCATTCTTCTATTTTTTTGGCCATCTGTTTTCCGGCATTCTCTGAAGGAGTCCATACCAGTTAAGTCGTTTGGCTTCGATTGTGTCTATTATGTCTAGCTCGATTTTCATTTCTCTCCGAATATCTTCGTTTCTCACCCTATTAAGTCTAGTGAGCTGGCAACATCGTCTCCAGTAGTTCATTTCCATGGCCTTAATTTTTGATTTGTTTCTTTGGTTTATTTCCCAGAGTTCGGCGCCGTACAGTCCAATACTTTCTATTATTGTTTTATAAATTCTTCTTTTATTCTCTTTTGTTATTTTTTTATTCCATAATAGTCCGTGTAGCTGTCTGGTGGCTATTCTTGCTTGGCCAATCCTAGAATGTATTTCTTCGCTACTTCCTGCTTTTGATGTTATTTGGACTCCCAAGTACTTAAAATTTTCTGATGGTTTTAAAGTTCCCATTTCGATTTGTAGGCTTTCTGGTTTTTCTCCTACAACTAAGTACTCAGTTTTTTGTATATTAATTGTGAGGCCCCATTTATTGTACTCATCTTCCAGTTTTCTAAGCATGTAGCTTATATCACTCTCGTCTTCAGCTAGAATGGCTTGGTCGTCAGCGAAGTGTATCGTGTACAATCTATCATCTCCGATTGGGATGCCCATATTGCAGCACTTTCTTCTCCACAGTAAGAGTGCTTCATTTAGATATATTTTGAAGAGTGTAGGTGCTATGCAGCAGCCTTGCTTTAGGCCCTTACTAATAGGAATTTCTCTAGTTAATCTATTTCCAGTTTTAATGTTTGCCGTCATATTTTTGTAGAGCTGTTTTACTGCTTGTATATTTTTTTTGCTTATTCCTTGTTTTTCCATTGCTACCCAAAGCATTGAAAGTGGTACACTATCGTATGCCTTTGTCAGATCTATAAAGACTATATGAGTCGAAAGGTTGTGGGCTAATCTTTTCTCGATAACTTGCTTTAGAGAGAATATACTGTCCATGCAGGACCTGCCTGCACGAAAGCCATGCTGTTCTTCTACATCTGTCATCTCTTTTTCAATTTTATTTTTTATTATTTTTCCATACAGTCTTGAGAGTGAATTTATGACACTTAGTCCCCTGTAGTTTGAACAATTCTTTCTATCTCCTTTTTTGTCGATATTGTTAATATGTGCTTTTGTCCACTCCGGTGGTAAGTCGTGTCCATTATAGAATAAGGTGAAGACATACGCCAGTAATTCCTGTAATACTTGTGGGCTATGTTTTAATAATTTATTTGGTATACCAATTAATTAATTCTTTAATTAATTATTTCTTTCATGTTAAATTTTAGATATTATTTACTGGATTAAAAATTTACAGATTAAGATGTTCTATTAGGATAATCTGGGATAAGTAAATAGGTATTAAATTTATGCAGTTTTTATTGATAACAACTGACAATTTCAGATTTAATTCCAAAACCACACATTTTCTTAACAATAGTTAATAAAAAGATATCTTGATTTGCAAGTTTTTTAAGCAGAAAGTTTTGTTAAATATTATTATTTTTAAGGCAGCTGCTTTGGTACATTTGATATTTTATGATACAAGAAGGTAAGTTGTTACAAATTTAAATACGATTAATATATTTTATTACCAATTGCAGTTATTACCTAATAAAAAAGTTATCGACCAGTTGACTATTTGTAACTTAAAAATAATGAGCAATTTTTTGATATATTTTTGCAGGAATTTAACTGAAAATATTTTTAATGACTTTTAAAACTATTGTACTAAATAGCCACATATTTAGTTTATGTCCTTTAGCTACACTTTCATTCATAAAGCTGCATCAAAGTTTAAAGTATAAATTAATATTTTCTGATATCGGAAAATATTAAGAAAATTTTTTAAAATGGCGGGTAGATACATTTTACCATCCCGAGAAAGTTTGGTCTACTTAGAGGTCGCGGCCTGCCTACGCGAGCCGTGGTTCACTGTCACTCCCTTTGGCTAAGAAAGAGTACTACATCTCAACCTGTCATCTTTGCGGAAGACATTAAATTTTCTAACCTCTCTTTTACCAACCCTCACACGCTATTACGGCAAGGAAAACGATCAAGAATACCTGTTAAATAGTGCCGGTTTATTACAGTGTGCCGCCCGATGCTAATACAGTTACCGTGACCAGGCTCAAAAATATTTTTTATCCTTATTTCAATTCAACAAAATATATTTTAAATATAAGTTTATTAAATTAAGAAAAACAATAACAACTTTTTTTGGTTTCAATCTTAAATGAATACTTAACAAAATACAAGAACAAAAATTAAGGGCAATCTTCAAAAGGTAAAATATAAAATGTACCTAATAACATTCAAACAGGTAACTTACTATTGAAAAGCTTGTTTTCTTGCTTTTACTGAAGCGAAGTTTTCGATTATATCATTTCTATTTAATTTATTTAGCAGGTCCTCGTTAATGGATTAAACTGCTAAGAAGTTCAAATGTTGGTCAGGTCCAGGTCAAAACCTGTAACAATTCTAAAGGAGTATCTATTTTCAATTGGGGAGAGACATTAACAAATGCTTTAAATGAACACATTCTTGGGTAAATTACTTATTTCCAAATCCTCCTTGTATTTTTGTTGTAATTCGGTTGCTGCAGTGGCGCAGTGGCGCACCTAGAATTTTTCTCTATAGGGGGGGTTTGCTTGGGCACTAACAGTGTCGGAATAGTCGGAAATTTTCCTATTGATGACATAATTCCTCAATTGCGGTAACAACACCACCCCAAATTAACAGAACACATTACAACACACGGTCTGTTAATGTGTGATACTACCAAAATGTTCTGCCAGGGAAAAAAGGAACATTAACTGCAGAATAATTAGCACTACAACGCCTTGTAGAAAGTTGTTTAATACATGCTTTGCTGTGTTTAATAAGCACTTTCCAGCGGCTAGTGGAAGCAGAAAAAAAAATTAAAAATTGTTGTTTTATATGCTCACAAAATAATATCGAATTGTATTTTGATTGTAAAGTAAGTAAAGTTACAAACTGTTTTGTGATAGGGTCTCTCGCGTGTCACCGAACGGGTAACACCTGGGGTGGACCAACCCTCCCGAACACTTTCCGCCCCACCTACTTATATTATTTTTTTCTATGGGTATTTTATTTCTAATAAGTGGCTATTTAGATACAAAATTAAATAAAATTGGAAGTATTTTTATTTTACAAAAGGTTACAGAAGTAGAATATTATATTTTAGAATATTCCTATGTACAAACATTTCTCCAACATATAAATCGAAAGAAAGATTAAATAAAATACAAACGTCATCTTCTCATACGAAGATTAATTTCTTTAATCCAAAATGACCACGCCATACAATGTAGATACACGTGTGTAAAGTGAATAACATACATTATTAAAAAACAAAAACCAATCGCACATTACCATACGATACAGAATGAATGTTCATAACCAAAAGTCCCTATTTGCTATTCAAACAATTAAAAAAAAAACAATGTCCAATCTCTTATGGGAAAAATATATACAAAATAGAAATGTGTGGAACCGTTTTTTAGCCCCGCCCAAGAATTAATTCGAATAATAGCAAAATTATCATTTTGTAATATGGATAACTTGAATCGACTCTATCAAAAATAATTTTATTGTCAAACAAACATCACAATATAAATATACTCAGTGACATTAGTGTTACAACCAGAAGGAATAATTTCTTGAACTTAATTTTTTGGCAACATGGTAGATTTACATCAAGAATAAAACAACGTTGTCAAGAATGTTTATTAACAAGTCTTCTTCTTCTTAGAGTACCATATCCCTACGGAACGTCGGCCACTACCATGCTTATAATATTGTTATACTTATCTCGGTCTTGCGCTACGTGTAGCAGTTGGTCCGCTGTCAAACCTGTCCACTGCCGCAAATTCCTCAACCAAGAGAGTTTATTCCGTCCTATCCATTTCTTTTCTTCGATTTTACCGTTGAGAATTAGCCGAAGGAACTCATATCTTGGTCCTTTGATTATATGTCCAAGATATTCTAATTTACGCCTCTTAATAATATTTAATAGAGTTCGTTGATGTCCGTTGAATGTTCGTTGAATGATAGATTCGTCGAAAAACTTCTTCGTTTCTGGTTCTGCCAGTCCATTATAATTAACAAGTAATCAAAAACAAATTAATAATGTGTTTGGCGACTCCGTAGCTGAATACACTCCTGTATACTCGTACGTCTAGGCAATGACAAAATGACATGATCAATATCTACTTGTGGCACCTCATTCCAAGCAACTTGAGCTACATGTATTAACTGTGTAAGATGGTGCAAAGTGGGCAGTTTCCTTTCCATTATACCTCATACATGTTCGAAAAGATTTAAATTCGGAGCACGGGGCGGCCACAGCAAAACATTAACGCCATCTTCTTGGAGGAAGTCCATAGTTTGACGAGAAATATGGGGACGTGCGTTGTCTTGCTGAAAAAGGACGTCTCGTCGGCCGTCGAGATAAGGCAGTAAGGTGGTTTGTAAGATGTCATCATAACGCGAAGTTGTCCATGGGCAATAGCCACCCAAAAAAAAAGCGCAATATTGGTTAATAAGAAGCCGAGATAATACAATTTTTAGCGCGCGCTATGATTTTGATCTCGCTGATTCACATTTCGAGTAAATGTCCCCCACCACCACCTCTCATGCATTCCGAGCAACATTTTACGCGAAAATAATTTTTTATTTGTCTTTTTTATGGATGTTGCCATGAAGCGCATTACGTAAAACTTTTCATGTAAAAAATAAAAAGTACTTGACAATATCTCGGCAACCAGTAAGCCGAATGTATCTTTTTTTTTAAAAGCGTCTTTTAAGTGTGTAAATTTTGAAATTGATATGTTTAAAGCTCGTAAAGTTATTCAATTTGTTTATAAGCTTAAAAAATGTTTAAAACTTTCAAAAAAAATTTTTAGGCTCTCCTAGTGAACCGATTTGAATTTTACAAAAAGAGTTTGAAAGTTTGAGCTTTTCTTTATATGTAAAAAAACTATCTGAGGCCCTTATTTACGACCTACTATAAATTTGAAAATTTGCGATTTTTTTTCAGTAGACTGGATTGCAAAAATATAATGCAAATTATGTAATAAATTATATGCATTAAATTTTCAATTTATAGCTAACGAAATATTGTGTAAAATTGAATTACGTAACTTTTAATTTCTTATAATTTTTTCTCTAGGATCAATATTTTCCGAATTATAAACGAAAATAGTAGCAAAAAAATGAGAAATTTTCAATTGTTTTCAGATTTTGTTAAATAAAAAATATAGCACAGGGCTTGCGACTGGCGCATATCGTGATTATCGGTATTGGGCACATCCTGAAGGGATTCCAGCAAAAAATAGCTTCCTATGGAAAATGTCCAATCCAAAACAGATCTTGCCTAGACTAATTCTAGTAATCTACAAATTGAAAAATGTACTGAGTAATAAATTTTTGTCTTTGATAATTATCGAGGCAACTACAGAGTGGTAGTTTCTGAAATAATAATTCAAGCGTTTCATTCATCTGCACTGTATAAATAAAATAGATCTATTCAAATATGTTTGCCGGAAACTTTAACGAATAAATGTGCAATCCCTTTTGTCCCTGGTAAATATTTAAAGAGAGATGAAAAAAAATTTCAATTTAATTACATACATGACGTGATCACCAGAGATTTGATATTATAAAAAATATTAGAGTTTTATTATATGTCAAGTTTGTTAAAATTTATATCATGCAAAACTTTAACCTTTCAGAGACAATGGTATTAAAACAAAAATCTAGCAAAATATATTCTATCTTCTAAAATAACAACCATCACAGACACAATGTTTAATACCATTTATCTGTTTCTATTTTGATAGCATTGGTTTTGGTCATCGCCAAATGGTTAAAGTGATAATTCATGAACATGCAACTTCCTTGTTATATTCATTTATATCTTATTTATGTAATTTCTGTAAGACTTTTAATTGAATCACTAGAATTCTTCAAAGTAAAGCTGCCCTGTCTAGCCCCACTAGGAGCTAGAAGTAAACCTCACGTCCTTACAAATTTATAAACCACTGCAAAAACTAAAACACTAACAAGAACCAGTACCAGAGCTGTCACTAGTTTCGCAAAAGTATTAAGTCCACTTTCATTGGGGTTTAAAGGCCGTCTAGCATGGTTCTGCTGAGATCGTCTTCTTTTACCAGCCAAACCTCGTGCTAATGCCGGAAATGCCAGACTTTGTGTAAATGTTAATTTATGTAAACTTTCACTTAACGAATATGGTCCTACGCTTCCCCTGGCGGCAGCCCTTAGCAGAGCATATTCCAAGTCCAGTGCATCAAATATTGAATACCTTGCTGTCATCGTTGATGACCTTCGTCTACTATCCGAACTATCACTGGCTCTTGACGTATTGTTAGCTGCTACTGCAGCTGCTATTGATGTAAGTGAAGAGGTTGTTGATGATGACGGTGATATTACTGGATTGCCACCGTTAGTATTAATTTCTGATAGATCTTCAGTAGAACTGTGTGGTGGTGATATGATTGGATAAAGTCTTAAAAGTCTTGCATGGTCGGGGTGAAGCAAAGAGCTACTGGGTCGTCGAAGACTGGGGGTTGGTGATTGTAGCGGAGTTGTAGATGTACCGGCCGTCGAGGGTAAAGGTGATACCTAAACAAATAAACAATTTAATGAAATTAGAATAACAGCAAACAATTTCAAGCAAATAAATATAATCTAAATCTTTTTTTCTATAACATGTTATTTACAGACCAAAGTTGTGAGATTAAAAATATTTTATTAAAGTTTCAACTTTCAACTCAAAAATTATTTTTCACTCTTAATCGAGCAGGCAACATTTGAGAATCTACAAGAAATATTTATTTTTTAGAATCTCTGAAATGCTACCGTATGAAACGAGGAAGAGACCTAAGTTTAGAAGTAAACTTTTGACGCTGGATAATGTAATGCCACTATATACAAATATATCACGTCTTTCAGCGCTGTCGACTCTTGTACAGCCGTCTAGCTTGCGGTTTAATCCTAGTAGCTCCTACGAGCGAACATATAAAAAAACACCGCTAGGGTGCTGCCTGTCTAGCGGCGACCGTGTCCAAGTAGATCTTCAGAGAGAAAGGACCAATCAAATACTGCAGGGGTGTTGGTCTCTTCTTCTCATGGCGCCGTCTCCTTTCGAAGGTTGACGATCCAAATTACAATTAAAGTTTTGGAAACTGCTGCGTGAAAGATTACTGTAGATGAGCGGTTGAACCATCTCCTCACGTCTTTCATCCACGAGTTCTGGTGTCTTCCTACTGATCTTTTGCCCTGTACTTTTCCTTTCAGTATAACTTTAAGTAATTCATATCTTTCGCCTCCCAACACATGACCCAAGTATTGCATTTTCCTATCTTTGATTATTCTCAGTAATCCTTTTTGTTTACACATGCGACAAAGTACCTCAACATTAGCAACTCTTTGTACCCATGGAATTCTCAACCTTTGCCTGTATATATATCTCAAAGGCATCTATTCTTTTTTCTATTTCAGCGTACATTGTCCACCCTTCACAGCCACACAGTAAGACAGAAAAACGTAACATCTGATCATTCGGATTCAAAGGTGCAGACTAAGGTCTGATCTTGTAAAAAATGTTTTTATGCTCATGAATGTTTTCCTTGCTTTTTCGATTCTTGATAGAATTTTTTTTTGGATTACACTGACTATTGATATTTACTTCCAAATATTTTATGGAATTTACCTGTACTATTATTTAACCCTTTATACATACACATGCACGTTTATTGTTGTCTTTGAACATACTAAATTTTTAGTTTTGGAAACATTTAGATGTAAACCGAACATTTCGCTATGGTGAACTACCGCATTTATTATATTTTGTAGTTCTTGTGCGTTGTTTGCTATTAAGACGTGTTACAGGTCCAAAGAATTCAGAATAACAAAAGTAACAATCGAAGAATATATTGATTTATTGATAATCATTCTTTTACCCACTTCCCTAAGGGCTCTCCGAAAGAGCGTTTTCAATCCTATAGAAATTTGGCGCCCAACGTGCGGCGCCTAACTTTAGTCTTTATTAAAGATTTTTTTTCTTTTCAAAATCAATTTAAAATCAATAGTTGAACAATAAAGTGAAAAAGTTAATTAACAAGTTCTTATTATAACCACTGCAGTTACATTGAGAAATTTAGTGTAATGTTCGATTCTACCAAAATTAAGAATAAATTTCCACTTAGCTGTTAGAAAGTCTATCTTCTTAAGTTCTGAAGACTCGATCCCAGGTGAGTACTTAATATTTATTATTATTATTTCCTTTAATAATCCGATGTTTTAGGATCTTTTTCTCTTATGGACAATTGGATATCATCCGATCCTAACTAATATGGAAAACTGATAGCCAATCCCTTAAGGAGTCACGAGATTATAAATATAAGTTGAAAAGATGATCAAAATGGTTTGAGATTAAATCACAAAGTAAAATAAAAGGCCTAAAAAAATGTTATTATGTTTAAAACGTAAGTAGTTATTTATTTTTCCAAAAGAAAACCTACCTTTGTTCAAATTTGGCCTTAAAGTGTTTCTAATACGAAAACAGTTAATAAAATCGAGTTTCTTTTAGTTTTAGAAAACAAATCCACACGATAGGTGATAATTGCTCAGCTTCTCACTTCTACAACTATTAAATTTTCGGAAAACTATCAAGAAAACTCTAGAAAAGGCGCAAAATTGCGTTGTAAGTTCTACACAAACCAATACTTTTTCATACAAAAGACCACCAAAGAAAGGAAAAGAAAAAAATTAAAGATAAGTTTTTTAATCTGGCGCCGGCCATTGTCCAGTAAGAATTTATTTAAAATAAGGTTCTGTTTAAAATTACAAGAAGAAGAATTCTATCAAGCTATTTTTGACATTAACCCTTAAAATAAGAAATAGGTTTTATGGTTTGTTTATTTTTAATTCAAAGTTTATTATTCATTTAAATTTATACTTATTTTTGTTTTAGGCGGTACAAAATCAAGGAAAGAACGAATAGATCATCTAAGAGACCAAATAAGACTTGGGAATGCATTCATTTTTTATGAAATCTTGTGGAGTTGTTAACAATTATTTAGCCAAAAATAAAATAATAAAACTTTATTTCAATAATTTATTCTGAATTCTTTGGACCTGTAACAGACGGTATCATCAGCATATCTGATGTTGTCTATGCTGATTCCGTTAATCTTAATTCCGCCTTGGACCTTGTCCAATGCTTCTCTGAATATAGACTCCGAATACAAATTAAACAGTAGAGGTGATAAGACGCAACCCTGAATCCTGACGGAATCAATATACCAATCTCACGATACCTCGTCGGATATATTTTCGGATGTTGTGTGTTCTATTTCAATTGTTGCCGTTTGGTGTCAGTATGGTTCTGAGATAATTCGCAGTCTTGTTCGTCAACTCCAGTTGTTCTCAGAATTTCGATCATCTTTTGATGGTTAACGCAGTCAAATGCTTTTTGGTATTCATTAAAACATGCATATACATCTACATTCATGTCTCTGCATCGTTGCGTTAACACATTTAAAGCAAAGAAAGCCTCTCGTGTTCCCAATCCGTTTCGAAATCAGTATTCAGTGTCACTTATCTGGAAAATGGATAATTCTGAGAAAAGTTTTAAGGACATGAGACATCAAACTTAATATTCGATAATCATCGCATTGTGAGGAATTCGATTTTTTGGTATTGCTACGAATGCTGATTTTAGCCAGTCTGTTGGTATTTTACCTGTGTCATATATCTTATTGAATAGTGCTGTTATTAAGTCTAGGCTTTTACTTTTGTTTCCTGCAATTAATTTTCGTATTTCGACATTGATATTGTTGGGCCTTCTTCATTTATTCGATCATCTGCGGATGGTGAAGAACAAGGTCTATCGTCGTCAAAAAGAGTTTGATATATTCTTTCCATCTCTTTAGTTTGTCTTCTGTACCCATAGTTATTTCGTTACTATTGTTTTTTAATATTTTTACTTGTATTTTTTATGTCTACCTGTCTTTTTTTTTTACTTTTTTATGAATATTAAAGGTGTCGTATTTTTCCTGAAGTTGTTAGATTTCTAGGCATTTTGTTGACATCCAGTTTTCTTTCGCCTCCCTGCACTTTTTGCTAATAATTTTATTGATTTGCTTGTATTCTATTGGGTTTGTTTTATATTTTCGTCTTACGTCCATAAGGTCCGTGATCTCTTGCGTTATCCATTCTTGTTTTTGTTGTGTTTTATGAACCCGACGTCTTCTTCTTGTATCTTTTTATTTTTTGTTTTTATAGCAGCCCATATTACTTCAATGTCTGTCTGTATCAAGTTTTTGATCATTTTTCTTTCTTTCTCAAGCTTGATACTAATTTGTTTATCTCTTTAGGGTTCTTCAGTTGTGAGATGTCTATTTTTCATGTCACTGTGACATTGAGAAATCTTTTTAATTTAAATTCCAATATTCACTGGATTATGATCGCTATGTATATCAGGTCCAGGGTATGTTTTCGTAGATTGTATGTACTTTTTAAAGGTGTTATTGAGCAAAATGAAGTCAATTTGATTCCTAACAATCCTGTCTTCTCTGTCTGCAGGTGATTTTCATGTGTATGGCCTTCTATTATAGGATGTTGTTTGAAGAAGGTATTGGCTATTAATAGATTGTTTTCTACGCAGAATTATACAAGTCGATCTCCTCTATTATTCCTGGTACCTAGACCGTATGGTTAGTCCCTACCATTTTTATATGTCGAGCAATGGGATGGAGCAAAAGATAGTAAGCCATCGCCTGAGGTGCTTAGATCGCAGCAATAAGCACAGGGCTCGATCTAGTTCTTACGTACATACAAACAGTAACGAAGCCATCGTCTGATGTATCGGTAGTCCGTATATGAGATACTCGAAGCGAGACTAGTTCATAAGTTGTACTAGTCAACGGGTTGCATTCCTAGTATCAGAGACGAGCTCATGTGGGAACACTCTGCACTCATTCTATCATCTAAAATGGTGACGTTAACCTCAAATAAGGAAACATATGTAGGATAATTGTTGATAATTGATTTCTTGATGAAGTTTATTAAATGGAAAATGTTCGGTAAGAAGACCTCACACTATTAAACTGCCAGTTACAAGTTATTTCTTGCATGATGCAAAAAATTAAAGAAAAAAATGTGACAAGTGTAATCATCATCCGCACAAAACTTTGTGCCAATTAAATTTATTTTTAAATCTAAATGTTTACTATATGACACTTTTGTTTCTATGTACTGCAACTGAACGTTACCATTTACCTGATCCGAATCAATCCCAGAGTCATTGTGTAATATATTGTCCATACACGTTGAATTTTGTGATGATGCATCTTCTGCACATACTGGAAAGACAAAACTCTGACCATCAGCTTCTCCCCGTGGTGAATCTGAACTGGGCCAAACCTAAAATGTCATATCAATTTTAAATTTCTGAGTAAAGTTTTTAGATTTTGTTGAATATTTTTTACAATTAACAACAGTTTGTGAGTCAGTAAAACTAACTAAATGATGTCAGAAATAAAATTTCAAAAAAACTGGAATATAAGTATAATACACACTTATTAAATCAAAAAATGGAAAAGGAAGTATTTTTGAAGTGTGTAAATTTTTTTTCCTAGCTGAGCGCTTCCGGCATACAAAACCATCCTCATGAGCTATATTACATAAAACACTATGTTATATAAGTAACTAAACTTTATAAAAAAAGTTATATAAATATTAGTAACTTTAAAGTTTTAAAAAGTATCACTAATTAGAAATCCCATTTGGCGGAAAAAGCCACAATTTTTCTTCATAAAAATTAAGTTATAAAAACTTTTTTGAAAAAAAAAAACATATAAAAGACTTAATATAGTACTTCACAAAAAATACATTAAAACATTTGTTTAGAGTACAAGTATAAGAACCCGACCATTTTATTAAGATTATTTTAATTATCAAAAAGTTGATGAATTAAAACTCATAATGAAATGATAAATTTATCAAAGACTTTTTGTAGATATTATTTTAGTTTTTGGCCTAAATAATTTTTGTTTTGTTGTCCTCTTGTTCAGTAAAACTTTCTGAATCTTGCTGAATGGGATGATAACTGTAGCAGCATAGCAGATATTAAGCAAAACTCAATAGCTGTTTAAAACAAGTTAATGAGTTGCCTGCATTATGCTTATAGTGCTGTTAGTATTAATTTAAAGTTTTCGTGTGAAGCTATAGGCAGGATTTGCTTTTATTTAAGATTTAAACTTCAATTTTTTTTTTGTACAATAAATATGATTAATTAATATTTTGGTTTATTTGTCCTAGACAAAACTTATTTCTTAGTTTTACGGTAAGACATTTTCACACCTGAAAGACTGATCTAGATGAAGCCTTAACAATTGGCTCTCAAAGAAAGTTGTGAGTTATATTGTTACAAATTTGCGACCACGATTTCTAATGGGTCGTTTCTTGGTTACAAGATAAGAAACATTTATGTTTATTTCTTCATCTTTAATGATAACATGTCATACATATTATTCCATACCACAATAACTAGAGTTAATGAAATAATTTTCTTACCGTCTTTGTTTTTATTGTTGTGTTGTGTAAGACTGGAATCACTTTTAGATTCAAGGAGTACATACTAGGACTACGTTTAGATTCAAGGATTATTAGAGAAAGAGTTGTTGTGACTACAGTCTCAAATAAGGTTCAACAACAAAGACTGCAACGTTAAAAAAACTTTGGTGGGACAAAGAAGACAGCTGTTAGAGGTTGAAAAAACAAGTATATAAAAACTGAGTAGAATATGGAATAATTGTCAGCAAAACTGACAGAGAACTTTAAAGGAAAGGGTTTAAATCAAGAAGATGCGATTGACAGAAATAGGTGGTAAAGAGTAACGTACAGCTACCATTAAAAAGGAAAAAGGTAAGGAAGAAGATGAAGATGAAGATGAAGTAGATGATGATCTGGAAACTATGAAAATAGACCTGGGCAAAGGTGTGAGACAGAACGACACCATCTCAGATAAGTTATTTACTTTGGTATAAGAAAATGTTTTCAAAAAACTAAATTGGGCCGAAAAGGGATTAAAAATAGATGGAGTATATCTTAACCATTTGCGTTTTGCATACGACATAGTACTAATAAGCACAGATATCCATGAACTAAAATCAATGCTACAAGATGTAAGTCACAAATCGAATCAAATAGGATTAAAAATGAATCTCGACAAAACAAAGATATTAAGCAACAGCCTAGAAAACATCACGATAGATAACATCAATATAGAAAAGGTAGAACAATATATATATATATATATATATATATATATATATATATATATATATATATATATATATATATCTAGGACATGCAATTAAAAACGAAAAGAAAAATCAAACCCTAGAAATTAAAAGAAGGACACAATTGTCATGGGCTGCTTTTGGTAAGTTGAGCTTCATTTTAAAAGACAGAAAAATCCCAATTCACTTAAAACGAAAAATCTATGACACTTGTATACTACCAGTTGCAGCTTATGGATTGCAAACTATGGAAATAACAAGAAAAATGGTAGAACAATTAAGAGTAACTCAACGGGGCATGGAGAGGGCCATGTTAAATATAAGCCTCAGAAACAAAATTCCTGACACCGAAATACGTTGAATAACTAAAGTAACTGACATCATGGGAAAAATAGCGACAATGAGATGGCAATGGGTAGCACATGTAGCAAGACAAGACACCAACAGATGGTCTCATAAAGTGACATTCTGGAGACCTCGAGAAACAAAAAGAAGCATGGGAAGACCTAAAAAGAGATGGATAGACGATATAACTGCTGTAGCTGGAAAGCAGTGGATGAGAATTGCAAAAGATAGGGAAGCGTGGAAGCAATTGGACGAGGCCTACGTCCAACATTGGATAAATGAAGGACGAAGAAGAAGAAGAAGATGATTTTATGAACGTATTTATATTTTTTCTTCTTTGTCCAGTTTGAGAGTTTCGTAGGCCGCCATCTACAATTTTCTTTTAGTAACAATTGAAATTTGACGTTTCACTTAAGTAATTAATTTGACGTTTAGATGACAGCCATTTGATGAAAAGTAGTGAATAGTGATTATGTACTGCTAGTAATGCATAATATACATCATTTTAATAAGGAACGCGAATAACAAATGGGTTTATTCTAAACAGTTTTAAAGAAAAAAAAGGATGATTATAAACTAAATATAATTTTAAAAATATAAAAAATAAAGAAGTTTATGTCAGTCTGTGCCACAGACATATAGAACAAGATAGACTAATCGTTGTAATACCAGCCCGTTCCCCCAGTGCGACAGGCAAAACTCTTCAGTTCTTTCTTATTTTTCAAGTTTATCGACCACGTGACCTAAATGGCCAATGAAAAGGTCATGTAGTCGATAAACCCTGCTTATTAGACAGAGATGTGGGGACTGCTTTGCGTTAGTTTTCTCTGTCGCACTGTGGGAACGCGACTGTATTACAGAAGTCAGTCTATCTTTTATTATATGTCTATGGTATGTGCAATTGGACTAAATCTTTACACACGTTATTTTCATTCCCCCACTTCTTTATATAGTTACTTCATATAGTTACTTATGTTTTACTATTCTATGTAAGGATATACATTTTTGAGCTATATAGATATTTTATATTAAGCCCATAATTTATGTTATATAAATTGTGACATCGTACCTGTAGCAAGGGTAATGAACAATGAGGAGGTTTTGTTTCTTCATTGGGCGAGTCTTCAGGACAGGGATCACACTGAGAACCAGAACTACTATTGGAAGATTTTACAGCTGACCAAAATCGTTTCAGGCCTAACTCTCGACGTTGCTTCTAAAAAAAAAACGAAAATATAAAAATAATATCATACATATACATATACATATATATATTTATATATATATATATATATATATATATATATATATATATATATATACATAGAGTGTGTATAACGACGCTAAGAATACAATTCTTTGGAGGGTAACTTTCGGGAAAGCGTCAAAACAAGGATAAGCTAGAGATGGTATAAGCCAGTTTGGTGTAGAACTTTATTCTAAATGTGAAATTTTCGGTGATATGTTGTCACCTTCATCAGCACCGAAATGAAAAACCTATTATAGTACAAGTGGTGGAAATCAACATTTAAAAACCTACATTGAAAATGTTCAGTTGCTCCTAGTGGTGAAGAACACTGTCACAAACATGTTAAAGATATTAAAAAATACATTAAAAACTTTGAATAAAACCATTACAAACACAACAGGGTATTTTTTTAAATACAAACACAACAAAAAAGTCTAAAATTTACAACCTACAAAAACTGCAACTTCATGTTAAAGGTAGAAAAGAAGAAATCAAAAAAAGAAGATTAATTCTTCTTTTCTACTTTTAACATGAAGTTGCAGTTTTTGTAGGTTGTAAATTTTAGACTTTTTTTGTTCTGTTTGTATTTGAAAAAATACCCTGTTGTGTTTGTAATGTTTTTATTCAAAGTTTTTAATGTATTTTTTTAATATCTTTAACATGTTTGTGACAGTGTTCTTCACCACTAGGACCAACTGAACATTTTCAATGTAGGTTTTTAAATGTTGATTTTCACCACTTGTACTATAATAGGTTTTCCATTTAGGTGCTGATGAAGGTGACAACATATCACCGAAAATTTCACATTTAGAATAAAGTTCTACACCAAACTGGCTTATACCATCTCTAGCTGATCCTTGTTTTGACGCTTTCCCGAAAGTTACCCTCCAAAGAATTATATATATATATATATATATATATATATATATATATAATATATATATATATATATATATATATATATATATATATATATATAGAAATAAGGCGGTTCTAAAATAGTTAAAAATTTAAAAATTTGTAAATATAATGATTTAGAATTAAGAAGTGGTTCCGCGTAAGAATAAACTTTTACATTAATTTAGTTTCTAAGAACAATACTTTAAAATAATTATACACAGCCTTAAAAATATAATGCCTTATACACAGGCTTTTAAGTAAAATTCCTTAGAAATTTAGGATTAATAAACAAAACGTTCTAGTTTTTTATCAAATAAAAATTTTAATTATTGTGTAATAGCTTATAGACAATGCCTTTGTATTAATTTCCTCGAAGATAATGGTATGAACCATACTTTGTTTTAACAATTTTACAAATAGAGATTTGATTGAAAACACAAAATAAATGTTATTCAGATTATCTTCTATAAATTTAGTGAAAAACCAAGTGGGTACAATACGCTGGATTTCTTAAAAACTAGAATAGGAATTTTTGGAAAATAGATAGGAGGAACAAGTAAAATAATATGTATATTTGAGACAACTAGCTAAATTAAATAAATAAAATCAGGCCAGAGAAATAAAGAGAAGGATACGGTTGGCTTGGGTATCCTTTGGAAAACTTTCCTATATACTAAAAAATAAAAAATACCCCCAATATTTAAAAACAATAGTCTTCAACCAATGTATACTTCCTGTTCTCACCTATAGTTCTCAAATTTGGACGTTTACAAAGGAAAACATGGAAAAATAGCAAAGACCCAAAGAACCATGGAAAGACAAATGCTAAACATCGGGCTATCAGACAAAAAAAGAAATACTTTACTTTTTACTACCAACCAAGGATGGTCAACGGCGGAAGGATGCAGAAGGAAATGGGAAACCACTTAAAGACTCATAGAGTACCCCTAAATAAAGAAAGCTGGGCAACTATTTAGAATAGCTCGAGACAGAGACAGTTTCGCCATGTTAATCGCCAACGTCAAGGGGACTTGATAGGGCACGTTAAGAAGGAGAGTCACTTGATCGTAAACACGCGAAATCCTTGTACAAGAGCGCAGAAACCAACAACTTGGCAACGTGGAATGTTAAAAGTTTGTTCTCTGCAGAAAAATTGAATAATGTTATACAAGAAATGAATAGACTAAACATCGATGTTTAAGGAATAGCCAGGATCTGGGAAATGTTCAACACAAAATTATGGAACAATAAAACACTGAAAACTTTGTTTTCAAACTTCCACAAAATTTATTTTAACTATTATCACTACAGCTGTTTCGGCTGATAGCCTTTCTCAAGTGATCTATTTTTGGCTTGGGTTTACAAATTTATAGTCTCTAATGAAATAGGTTGAGGAGGGGCGAACTGTTTGTCTCAAGTTGGTCATTCAGAATTATATCTGTGTTTTTTAATTTGTTGATTTCCATAGATTCTAACAAAGATAGCTTAAGGCCTTTATTTTGAATGTGAAGAATTTTAAATTTGTCATTAAAAGAATGATTATGATCTAGAAGGTGAAGTGCGTATGTCGAATCTGTTTTTCTATTCTTGAAAGCCCTTTTATGTTCTGCTATTCGTTTCTCAAAGTTTCTACCAGTTTGACCGATGTAAGTTTTTGGGCAGTCGCCACATTGAAGTTTATACACACCACTATTTAAGTGTTTTTTATTTTGGCTCTTGTTATTTTTAATATATTTACCTAGGTTGTTATTTGTTCGGAAAGCTGGTGTTATTCCTTTCTTTTTTATGTGTTTGGCAATTTTTGTTGTTATTTTGCCTGTATATGTAATCGAGCAGAAGGTACTGGGTTTTTTCTCTGGTGGTGGAAATACTATTTTCAGGGCTTTCTTGTGTAGTTTTTGATTTAACATTCTATTAATTGTTTGTTCGTTGTATCCGTTGTTTACTGCTATTTGCTTAATTATATTTAATTCTGTCTCAAAGTTGTCTTTTGACATCGGAATTTCTGTTAATCTATGTAACATACTATGATAAGCTGCCAGTTTATGTTGTGTTGGATGGGATGATGAGTTGTGTATAGTCGTGTCAGTATGGGTAGGTTTGTGAAATATGGAGAAGTCATGTTTGTTTTGAAGTCTGCTGTATTTCCACCACCAGAGAAAAAACCCAGTACCTTCTGCTCGATTACATATACAGGCAAAATAACAACAAAAATTGCCAAACACATAAAAAAGAAAGGAATAACACCAGCTTTCCGAACAAATAACAACCTAGGTAAATATATTAAAAATAACAAGAGCCAAAATAAAAAACACTTAAATAGTGGTGTGTATAAACTTCAATGTGGCGACTGCCCAAAAACTTACATCGGTCAAACTGGTAGAAACTTTGAGAAACGAATAGCAGAACATAAAAGGGCTTTCAAGAATAGAAAAACAGATTCGACATACGCACTTACCTTCTAGATCATAATCATTCTTTTAATGACAAATTTAAAATTCTTCACATTCAAAATAAAGGCCTTAAGCTATCTTTGTTAGAATCTATGGAAATCAACAAATTAAAAAACACAGATATAATTCTGAATGACCAACTTGAGACAAACAGTTCGCCCCTCCTCAACCTATTTCATTAGAGACTATAAATTTGTAAACCCAAGCCAAAAATAGATCACTTGAGAAAGGCTATCAGCCGAAACAGCTGTAGTGATAATAGTTAAAATAAATTTTGTGGAAGTTTGAAAACAAAGTTTTCAGTGTTTTATTGTTACATAAAATGAATTTCCATCAAGTAACGGTCGAATCCATTAATTAAACAAAATTATGGCGTATTTTATTACTCCGGAATCGACAACATCCATCATTGCGGAGTTGGAATCATCATTTTAAAGAATTGGAGAAATTATCTGATTACCTGTACTCCTTCAGGGCGCTTAATATTAATACAAATTAAAGAAAGAGATAACTTAATAAATCTTATTCAAGTCTATGCACCAACAGCAGAAAAAGATGACAATGAATTAGAACAATTCTACAACGATTTAGAAGAAATGCTAAAGACAATAAAAAAGCAATACAATAACATAGTTATGAGCGATCTTAATGCCAAAGTGCGTCAAGGTAAGGTAGGAGAACAAGTAGGAAACTATGGACTTGAAAACAGAGATGACAGAGGAGATCGATTCATTCAATTTTGCCAAAGCGACGATTTCGTAGTAACAAACACTTCAAATTACCTCCTAGACGGTTATATACATGGACATCTCCACAACATACCAAATAAAAATAGTAAGAAATCAAATACACTACATTATGATAGCAAGGAGGTATCGTAATGCTGTTAAATGTATTAAGATGTTGCCAGAAACTGATGTAGGCTCAGATCATAACCTGGTAGTTACTGTGATAGAGACGAGACCAAAAAAGATTAGAAGACCACACAGAAAGGCACTAGATTTAATTAAACTTAGAAATAAAAATATACGACAAGAAACAGAAGAAGAAATAAATGAAAACATCCGTTTAGTGCAGCAACAAATTAAGAAGGGACGTAGACATCCAGGCCGTAGAAAAATGTCCTGGATGAGAAATTTAAGAGAGTAGTTTGGTTGTACCACTAACGAATAATTCAAAACAGCAGTAAATAAAATTAGAATCGCCATAATGATATCCAATCTAAGATAAGAGAGGCACTCAAAGAAGAAGAAGTTTTTAGGGGTTTCATAGTCTTGGAACAGTACGCAGAAATCAAATTCCATGCTGTAAAATACCAACTGAAGCAATATTGAATAAATTTAATGCAGCAGATTATTAAGGTACAGATATAAATAATGTTTTCTGGAGAGATAATTAAACAATAACATTATTGTCTTCATTCGTTCTTAAAGATCGTATTCAAATGGTAGAGAGAAAACAGAAAAAGAAGATCCAGTTGTCATGCCCTACCATTGTAAAGCAATATAACCGTTATATGGGTGGGGTTGATTTGCTCGATAGCATCATTGGTACATACAAAATAAAGATGAGGTCAAGAATATGGTACATGGGGTTATTTTATCACCTCGTTGC